TCCCTGAGGAGAAGCCTCATGGACCTACCCCGATGCAGCCCTGGGTGCTGGAGCAGCCATGTGGAGACCCCTGCCAGCACTGAGATGCTTACACACTCACTGATTTGGTTTTCCTCCTGCAGTCGGCATCATTGCATGTGTTTTTTTGAGATGGAGGAGGACTTTGTGGATTGTTGTTGGACATATGGGCTAATGTTAGACTTGTGGGCTAGGGCAGCACTGGGTTGGGATATTTTCTTGATGTGCACTTAACCATTATATAAAACTCTCTCTTATACATGGATTTCTGTGGATTTGTTTCTCTAATGTACCCAGACTAATACACCATCCTCAACAACACCTTAACAGCAACACAATCTCCAAATCATCCCCCATTCATGCTCTACAAGCGCCAATCAAATACGGCCTCACCTTTACTTATCAATCATTAAAGTCTCTTTTCTTCACTATCACTGCTTTATCGCATACACGTGTATTATCTCTAAGCCTCCCTCTCTCCAGCCAGGCTATCTTTGAATCCACTCAACACAATGCAGCCTTGTGCGTGAACACCATCAAACACAAGACTGACAGTGTCAATTGACTTACACCCTTTAAACAGTACATGATTGCCCCTGAAGTCATTTCTTAAGTTTCTCATCTTGTGAGGTCTTTCATAAAAAGGACTCTGCTGTTGTGTCAGCGTTGCTCCTTGCCATACAGCACTCTGGACTTGAATAGCTTTATTTCTCTGCAAAGGCCATGTGGTAGTAAGATGATTTTATGTCAACTAGCTACTCGTGTCTAGGGGTGGAGTCAAACCTGTCAATCAGATCACAGCCTGTTGCGGTGGCTGTGGGCGTGTCCCTCCCCCTCTCCTCCTTTACTTCCTACTTGTTGAACAACAACCCGAGAGTCACTCCAGCCCTGCCATGTGTCCGCTCTCCGTGCATCCACATGACTGCACCACCAGGCAGTCTTCCTGCCTTCTGCATCATTGCATGTCTGCGTGCGTCTGAAGGTGGATTTATGGACTAGCATCGGACTTATGGACAAGATGGACTGGTCTGAGATGCTTTTTTGATAAAGAATGACTTCTTGATATAAATCTTTCTTATACATATACAAGTGTCACGATTTGTTTCTCTAGAGTACCGGGCCTAATACAGGTAATATATTTGTTAATATCTGGCCTTTCACATATACTATTTAAGCAGTTCCCTCAACTATTCCAACACGCACCTTGATAGTTCTAAGACCATTCACAAAGACTAAGATATTAGTTAAAATCACGTTAGTCTATTAGTGGTCTTGATATTTTGGTTTCATATATTTCCCCTTTCATAGTAGTTAAAACAGTTTGTAGACACTGTTATTTTTAGTACTTTTCATTTTTTTTCAAATATGCAGTACATAAATATATAAGAAGGACTCAGGTTTTTAAAATTACACACACACCTTTCCATTGCCCTCAATTTAGTATGTGTTCTTTCGGAATTTAGTATGTTTTTTTTTTACATTATTATGATAAAACTCATAAAACCAAAAAGCCAAACTCGCTGCCATCAAGTCAATGCTGACTCAGAGAGACACCCTGTGAGTTTATAAGACTGTACCTGTTACAGGAGTAGAAAGCCCAGTCTTTCTCTCACGGAGCTTGGTGGTTTCAAACTCCTGGCCATGCGGACCGCAGCACAGCTCATAACCATTGCACATATATACACTTTAAAACAAAACAACCCCAAACCTTGGCATTTTATTGTACATATTTCTCTGTAAGGCAATCATATTTTGACTGTAATTCACTATAAGGAGCCCTAGTCAGTGTCCTTCCATAAAGAGTTGACAGCCTGAGAAACAACCTCCTATGGGGCCACTAGGAGTAGGAATCGGCTTGGTGGCAGTGGGTCTTGGGGGTTTGGGTTATATATTATTATAGAAATGTATACATACCTCTTAGGGGAAAGTGTTTAAAAGTTAAATAGGTAAGCAGGGATTATAGAAAAAAGAAACAAACCAGAATACAACCCCCCTCCACCCCCACCCCCAAAAAACACCCAACAAGACCTAAGCTATCATCCTTTATGTACATATTGTGTTTCCTTTGGAAAACCAATTTGCTAATATGTATAAGTTCTTTGTGACTCAGAATTGACTCAACAGCAGAGGGTTAGATGTGTTTTTGTTTTTTTAAGAGAGCAGGACCAATGAATATTATACAAGGAGGCTTCAGAAAGTTATGGACAGATTCCATTAATTTTTATTTCCATTTTTGATGAACTTTTGGAATTAAAAGTTAATAGATTTGTCCCATAGACTTTTGGAATCCTCTTATACGAATCCCAAAAGCTTTTCCTGTCAAACGTTGTGGGGTGTGTGTGTGTGTGTGCTTTCTAAGTGGAAAAAATGAAGCCAGAGAGGTATTGTGTATTGGATCCCAGAGCAAGAATGTTGGGTACCTGTGAAGTTCTTTGAATCTTTCCCAACAGAAAACTGTCAAAGATTTCATAGCCGAGACATTGTATGTTTTAATATGTAAAGACAACACTGGTAATAAAACATTGGTAGATAGATAGATAGTGATACACCTAGCTAATTAGCTAGATAGGTAGATAGTAGAGTGTACCACCAACCAAAATCCCATCCCGGATTCCAGAAACACAGTCCTTTTACAGAGAACCGGTAGGTGGATCTGGAGTAGTGAAGCAACATCAAAGAGGGAGAGGAAGAGTTTGAGATGAGAGGCATATCAGAAGAGATACCAGCAGGATTGTGAAAGAGCATGGATTTCAGAAGGAATCCATCCACGTTGAGTATTTAGAGGTGCAGGAAAATGAGAAGGAGAAGTAGGCAGATGGAGAGCAGTCAGCACAATATATTAATTCAAGGTAGAACAGACAGAGGAGAAAGTAATCAGAGGAAAAAATGTTACCAAGCATACTACGTTTACACTAGAAGGCAAAAGTATGTCCTTGTAGACTAAGAAAATATCGATACTATTCCATTCAACAATCCACCCATATGTTACCTACATTATCACATTACGCTGTTAGTCAACTGTTTTCAAAGGAGGTTGAAATTGACATTCAAAATTGACTCCAGATTCCGCTACAGAATTTATCCAAAGACGATGCTTTAATAATGAGAATACATTTCCCCTTATGACAAACAGTTATTACCTGAAGACCAGTTTCTTATCATTGGGTATGTAATAATCTCTGATTTCTTTCATGGCAAAGGTATTGCTGGGAATTTCTCGAGCGAGGCATGGGAGCGGATGGTAAGACCCGATGATGCGTAGTTTCCACCGTGCAGCTGCTACAAATGCCTCTCCGGTAAATGCCTCGGCTACAAATGTGTACCCTTTCTGTAGGAAAGAGGCATCACATGGAAAGAAGGCCCCCTGGTTACTAGTTTTTCATATGTGCATATGTTACTTTCCCACTACTGAAATGCTATATAATCATGGCGGGCTTAAAGATCCTTGGATCTTTAGTAATAAACATAGGATTGCCAACTTTAGGTTTGAAATTGTTGTTAGATAGCACAAGCTTACCTGTTTTCTTTTTAAAATAAGTTTATTAACAGAGAGGTCATAAGTCACATATCACGCACTTCAATAGTTTGATCATATTGTTTAAAGTTGTACAAGCATCACTACAATCAGTGGACAACATTTTGATCCTTCTTGTACTCATTGTGATTAACTCACCATATTATTTTCCCAAACTCCCCTACCATACCACCCTGATGAGCCTTTAATCTAGTTACTGTCTCTATAGATCTACCTATCCTGGATTTCATATACAGGCAAACATACAAAACACAAAAAAATCCCCAAAACAATAACAAATTAAACAAGAGCAAAACCTTAATTGAAATGAAGCAGGGAATATTACAAATTACAACAAATTTTAAATGAGTGGAGGCCAAAAGGTATTAAGTTTAAAATTTTTAATCTAACTGCACCTGCAAAGATCCACTTTCCTTTGCACTCTGCATAATAGCAAGAATATTCACAGCGCTGGTCTGTGGTCAGAGGGCATTCACCAGAGGCTTAATACACCTGCATTTCCCCTTCATTGTTTTCCCCTTTGATGAAATAACTTTAAAATGGGTCAAAAGGTAGATAAAAATGATAAGGTATTACCTTTTAACCTACTTACATCTGCCATAATCAAGCTTACAATGACCTCTGTCTGATGCCAGGGTTCTTCAAGACCCTGGTCGATGTTCAGGAGGAAGTCATGGGAGACAATCCATGTGTATTTCCCCTTCACTTTTTACAAATGTTTTATTCTCAAGGTCATCTCTAAATTCAGCAGGGATATAGTACTCAAGGTCCCAGTTTGACTCTCATGAAATTATCTTAGTTTTCTTTTGTGAGATGTAGTCAATTAATATGGCCCTTTTAGCCACGAGTATTCTATGTGATGTATCATGCAGCAGGGAGATGATGGGAGAAAAGGAGCCAGGTCAAGACCAGAGAACATGGTGAGGAAGCCATGAGACAGAAGAGAAGAACAGTACTGAGGCTGTGGGACTGTGCGGCTGAGCAGAGGCCTGGCTTCCTGTCCAGTGGACTGTGTGGCTGAGAGGCTGAGAACAAGATAGAGACTTGGCTATTGGCTAAGGAGAGGTGTTTCTGTAGACCAATCTTTTCTGTCATATATGACAAGAAATATGAAAGAGAGCTATCTATTTACTAATTTTCTTGTTGTGTCCTGAAACTCCCCTAACAAACTCCATTTATTGTGAACTCTGTGTGGCCTTTGCAACACATTATTGAACCCAGCACAGAAGTAAGAGTGCTGTGGCAGGAATGGTTGGTGTTAGAATAGGGTTAAGAAGGGTGGAGAGGGGAGGCATGTCTGACCCCTGCCTCATGGTAATAGGAAAGCCAGAGGAGATCAGATATGTACCCCTCAGTCATACCTACTCCCTGAAACATTTACACATTTAGCTTCAACTTATATTTGCATAGGGCAATTGATGAGCTCTTCTATAGTCATTCCCTGGATATAGTTACTTTGATTCTTATGCATTTAATACAGTACGTTCCATGTGTATGGTTATTGTTTATGGAAATGATCAGTCATATATAACAAGAAATATGAACAATAGTTACTTGGCCAATAACCTATTTCATAAACAGGTTATCCAACAGAATGTGGAAATTATTGAGTAATATCATTAATGTCACATACTAGTAAAATTCTTCCTGAAGCTTATTCAAAAATAGTTACAGCAGTGCATCAACATAAAATTGCCAAAATTTGAGCTGAATTCAGATGAGGACATGAAACATTATTGTTGATGTGAGATGGATCTTGGTTAAAGTATAGAATACTCAAAAGATGTTTACCTTTTGTGTTGTGGACAACACAAAGGCATCCAAGCTTCTCTTTTGTAGACAGTATGGATATATAACTGTGGATCGTAACATATTATGGGTAACATTGTGAAGGATGCGAAATCTAGAGCACTTAACTGCACTCAAGTGGATGGAGCCTGGTTTAAAATCAGAAAAGTTGGGTAAACTCAGACCTGTGTCCTTTCACCAATCTTATTCAATATGGATGCTGTGCAAGTCATCAGGGAAGCAGGGCTATCTTGAAGAATAATAACACCCTGTCAGAATTTGAGGTTGTTGGCTCAAATCCACCAGCTGCTGCTCAGAATAAAGACGAGGCAAACAGCTACTTTAAATGTCACAGCTTTGGAAATTCTGAGGGATAGTTCTACTCTTCTGAGGACTTAGAATAAATTCAAAAGCTGTGTGTGTGTGTGTGTGTGTGTGTGTGTTATTTAACAACCGATGACATGCCGATGTCACATTTTTTGCCTCCTGACAGTGAAAAGCACCTAATCATTCTATCACCTGAGAATAAACTTGACACTTACCTTGTTCTTGGTATAGAGATAAGGCACCACTTTTTGGAATACCTTTGGCACCTGCTCCAATGTGTCATTATTAACAACGTGCAGCATGCAGACTGGAAGGGTTGTGTATATTTTAGGGACCACAATCATATCTTGAGGAACCAAAAATACTTCTCTATAATTAAAAGAAGCATAAACTTTAATATGTATCTTAAAGTCTGAAATTAACTATGATGCTAAGATACAAAAAAACATTAAGTTACATCTTAACTTACAAGATAGGCATTTTCCTTTAAAAGTTATTAATAGTTTGTTATGTAAATCCAATCATTTTGAGAAATCCCATATAGTATGTATATGAGACTTTAAAAACATTTAAGAGCTTAATTATGAATATAGATAACTGAACATATAAAAATTGGTTTTATTCAGATTTTTTCCATAAAACTATAAATGTGAAGCAGGCCTACAGTAATTAAAGGTTAAAATAACTTGAAATAAATGTACTGTTGGATAATATCTTCAAATTTAGTAAATCCTGGTAGCGATACTCATAAAATTTAGCTCAGAGTCTAGATTTTAATTTGCAAATTTTAGCCATGGTGCTAAATAGCTATATGTTATGGCTTTGGTTCTAAAAATTTTCCTTTCTGTGATGAACACACAATATGTTACTCTAATATCATATTCATACAAATTTCTAACAATTAATTAATATTCTCAATATCTTATTTAAAGACAAATTGAAAATAATACCATCTAATTCATGCATATAGGTTTTCATAAGTTCTAAACAAGGAGGTGAAATGTTAATATTTATTCTATCATTAATAAAACTAATATAATATTATAATATAATTGTATTATATTATAATATGTAATATTAATATTATATGCCATCTAAAAATTACTTTATTGGCCAGTACATAATAACCTCACCTGAAAACTATAAACCAAGAATTTGGTGGCTGGTCTGGATAATTCACAGAATAGTCAGCAAATGCAATCTTAGTTTCTTCATCTTGATAGCATGGGTAGGATTCAATAGACCTGCACTTGCTTTTAAACATTAATCTACAAATAAGAAAATAATGCTAGTATCAATGAAAGAAGCAACTCAACATACATACTATTTGCAAAAGAAAAACCTAGGTCAACGTGACATAAAATAACAGTGTTTTGGTTATTGGATTAAGTTCTTGAGGACAGGGCAGTTGTGGGTCTAGGGTGGGTGTTACATAGGAAGGGCCATTCAGGTCAATGGTAAAAGATGTCCCTTGGGGGGGCCCACATTTAGTTAAAGCTTTTAGTCAATAGAGAACCTGACTCACGATTGATGAAGTGATTGGAAGTCGACGGGTGAGAACTCAAAACCGGAGTTCAAATTGTAAAGATAGGAAAACCAAATGCTGGGAATAAAATTGGGATAAGTGAAGGGTATAGAAATAAGAGAGGGAAAAGAGACTAGAATGGATTTTGATGTGAGAAATAGGTTTGAAAAAGATTCTCTAAAATAAAATAAAACACACACACACACACACCAAGGCATGGACACAGGGACAATGTGAGAGGGTTCCTTCTACATGGTTCCATGCATGTGTGGATCATTATGGGTGAAGGTTTTCATCAGGGGTGTCCCCTGTAAGGTAACGGCATCTCCAAGAAAGAAGTGATATGAACCATCTTTTGGATTTTATTGGTTCAACTGCATTGTTAACTGGATCTAGACTTTGCACTACCAGGAATCCAGAACCTTCTGTACAACGTTTCGGATAGTGGTTTGGAAGAAACATAATAGCCATAAGAATAGATTCTCTGTTGGAGGTCCACACAGGGTGAGGTGTTTTTAGTTTCCTGAAGCCACGGGGTTTAATTATACTGTCATGAGGAAGCAAAGTTATGAAGATCCTCATGGAGGAAGTAATTTCATGATTCATTTGACCATTGAGAAGGTCACGAATAGGCTTATATTATGTGAGACTTTAAAAAGCCTCTTGAATGGCAATAAGAGTAAGGTTAAGGTGACCCTATATTCTGGTATCCTTGGGACAGTCCTGGTTTACACTTATTAATGACAATCCCTCTACTCTAAGAGTCTTACTTTAAATGAAATTTAGTACAATCACCCTACCTAGGAATTATAAGATGATGGTCTATCAATACAAAGTGCCACTATACAGCACATGAGGACTGGTTTAATCTAAGCTTGAGCCAACACAAGATTTAACCAGGATTTAGATGGGATTACTGTGATAGAACTAGCTACCATTCTGAAATAAAGAGAAATTTAGGAGCTTTCCATAGAAATAGCTGCAACATCTGTTAATGATTATAACTTGGAATGTGCAAAGGTTGAATCTAGGAAATTTGGAAGTGGTCAAAAATGATACGAAACACATAAAGATCAAGATTCTAGGCATTTGTGAGCTACAACTAATTGGTTTGGCCACTTTGAATCAGAATATCATATGAATTACTATGCTTGAAATAATAAAATCAAGAGGAATAGCATGTAATTCATTGTCACAAAGGACATTGAAAAATCAAACATGAAGTACAATACTGTCTGTGATAAGATTATACCTATCCACTTTTAAGGACATCCAATCAATACAACTATTATTCAAATTTATGCACCAGCTACAAAAGCTAGTGATGAAAAACGTGAAGAAGCCCACCAACAAATTCAGGCTAAAATTGATCAAACATGTAATCAGGATGAATTGATAATTTTTGGTAATTGGAAGGCAAAAGCTGGAAACTAAGAGGAAGATTCTGTAGTTGGGAAATATAGACTTGGTGTTAGCAACAAAGCTGGAGTTTGCAAGATAGATCTTTGCAAAACCAATCACTTGTTCATAGCAAATACCATTGTGTCAACCACAAAAAGGTGAATATATAAATGGGCTTCCCCAGATGGAATACACAGAAATCAAATTGACCACATCTGTGGGAAGAAATGATGGAGAAGCTCGATACCAGCAGCTAAAACCAGGCACGGGCTGACTGTGGAAGAGGCCATTAATTGCTCATAGGTAAGTTCAGGATAAAGCTGAAGAAAATGAACAGGTCCACAAGAACCAAAGTAAGACTTTGAGTCTATCCAACCTGAATTTACAGACTATCTCAAGACCAGATTTGATGAATTGAACACTAATGACAGGATAGCTCAGCTGATGAGCTATGGGAGGATATCAAGAATATCATTCATGGGAATTCCGCCCAATCTGATCCCACCACACCGAGGCTAACCACTGGGGGCGTGGAACAGAACAGCAAGGGGAACAGAGCAACAAGGTCCCCGTGGAGT